AGATTTTGAGGCACATGTGAATTCGTTCAGTTTCAAGGGCGCGGCTGGTAGCGTGCCTTGCCCGAAATGTCGGAACGTCGTTGGCAGGTGCGAGTATTTCGACGACGACCCTGACGTCCTTCATATTTGGAGTTCTTCGTACGAGAAGATGCAGCTGAGAACGCATGAGGAGCTAAAAACGATCATCGATCATCTGTCGGACCTGTCGGCGAGAGGGGATAGGAGGCAGCTCAAGCTCGACCAGCAACACCTGGGGGTTAAGTACGACACCGCCTCAATACTGTGGGACGAAGAGTTGTTCGAGATTGCAAGGCCTCCCGAGTGTATCTACCTGGATTGGATGCACTGCCTTGCCGCATCAGGCGGCACCGGGCAGTTCGTGCTGAATCGTACCCTCAGAGCGCTGACCAACTACAGCCAAGAGTTTGACCTGGAGCTCATCGACCTGTGGGCGGAAAATGTGAAGCTCCCTCGGGGCCACCAGCAGCTGCCCAAGAAGTTCTTCAGCCAGCGGTACGTGCCTGGAGCTAATAAGCACATCAGGGCATTCGCTTCGGAAGTCCTCTCTGCTACTGTGGTGCTGGCGATGTTCATGGATGAGTTTGTCGGTCACGATCACGCTGAGTTGGGCGAGCACCTGCTCGTCTTGAAAATGCTCGTCGGGATATTCGAGACTTTGGAGCGCGGCGATCCAGCGGAGGCGGGGGCAACACTTGAGGCATACAAAGAGTTTGCAAAGCTCTATGCACGGCTGTACCCCGAATGTCGGAGGCCAAAACTTCATTTCACAGTGCACGTGTTTCAAGCGTGGATTGCCTTTGGAATTTTGTTGTCGTGCTTCTCAACCGAGCGCAAACATAGAACTTTTAAGAAGACTATGTCGTTTGCGTACAGAGAGGCGTGTTCGACTGCCCTGGCCACAGAGCTTCGCCGAATGGTGAATAGCTATTCTAAACGCTTCGCGTATCCCCACCAGCCCATCCAGAAACGATGTCCAGGCGAGCTGAGGTGATCAAGGGAGTGCGGCAACAAAGAGGAGGATGGCCGAACCGTGCAAAGTAGTGAGGAGGGGAAGGAGGAGGTGGATGGATGGATGGATGGATGGATGGATGGATGGATGGATGGATGGATGAGGGAGTGGGAAGAAGGAAGATGAATAGGATGAGGAGGCGGAGGAGGAGGAGGAGGAGGAGGAGGAGGAGGATGACGAGAAGGAGTAGGAGCAGGAAGGAGGATCAGGAGGAGGAGGAGGAGGGCAAGCACAAGGGCCAGATGTCTCTTGGATGCCTCTCGGAGCCTCTTGGGGTATCTCTCGGGCGATTATTGGTGGCCTCTTGGGGCGTCTTGGGGGTCTCCTGGCGATCCTGGGGGTTCTTCGGGGTCTTGGGTGCCTCGGGGGGGGGGCTCTTGGGGCCGTCTGGGGTCTTCTCGGGGGCATCCTGGAGGCCTCTTGGGGGTCTCGTGGCGCCATCTTGGGGCCATCTTGGGACCTCTCGGGGCCTCCTGGGCGCTTCTTCGGGCTATCTTGGAGGAGATCGGTCAACGAAGGGGGGTGTCTTCAATTAGCCCCCCCCCGCTAGGAGGTCAAAATGGGGCCAAACCCCAAGTAAAATCAATGATTGTGGCTTCCTCGCCGACGCCATTTTTGGACGCTCCAACGCGTCGCCGCGCCCCCCGCCCAGGTCCAGGGGAGGGGGTAGGGGGAGGGATAAACCCTTCCCCGAAGGGGAAGAATGAGGGGTGGAGAAGTAATCTCTCAACCACCTACGCCCAGAGGGCTGGTGGGATTCCCAGGGGAATGCGTTTCAGCACTGTTACCTTGTAGACCCAGTGCGCAGGACAAACAGACGGCTAGACCTGGGCGGTGGCGCCCGTGCAACTGCCACCCGCTGGTCTCTGGCCGTCACCACGTCCCGAGGCCGTTTTTTTAACAATGATTTGCTGTGCTGGAGAAGTGGTGACAATTGGCACTGCGGGTTCGCTGTCGGTTACGTGCATGGCCATTTGGGCATAGTGCAAGGCTTTGGCGCCATTGTAAACGTGTGCGCTCCGATTGATGGTCTTGGGTCGTGGAGAAAGCACGGCGCGATGTCCTTGCTTCCAGTCGAGCGTATTCTGTGCGCCCTCGTGTACAAGATAAGCGACAGAGGCACGTTTGTGCCGCATTTCCCCTGTGCTGCCTGAGGGGCGTGTGTAAAACGAGTCTTGGTCCTGCTCTTGGGGTGCGCGCGGGCGCATCCGTTCGGCCCCAGCCCGCGGCCCGACAGGCGGGCGCGGGCGATCGCGACGGCGGCGAGGCAGCGTTCGCCGTCTCGCGTCTGGCACAGGCGACTGCGGCGCAGCGACTGGGGCCTGCTGGCCCCCCGTCCGCCGCCCACTATATTCCTTGATGCCTGACGGCCCGCCGCCTGACCCCCCCCCAAGTAGGAGCCCCAAAAACGCAACACAATACTTAACATATATTAGCAAAACATTAACATAAATTATGAAAAATTAACATAAATTGTGAAAAAATATACATTTTTATAACTCAGTTACAGACTCCACCACAAAAAATTATAAAGCAGTTAACATGCGGCCCCGCGTAAAACGTTATAACTCTGTTATAAAACTCATAAAACGCAAAATGTACAAAGTGACCTTCCCTGACCCCCCTGACCTCCCGGGCCTCCCCGGCTTCCCTGACCTCCCCGGCCTCCCTGACCTCCCCGGCCTCCCTGACCTCCACGGCCTCCCCGGCCTCCCCTGACTTCCCCGGCCTCCCCAGCCTCCCCGGTCCCCCTGGCTTCCCCGGCCTCCCCGACTTCCTTGCCTTCTCCGGTTTCCTGACTTGTCCAGCCCCCTCTGACCTCCCCGGCCTCCCCGGCCTCCCCTGACCTCCCCGGTCTTTCCGGCCTCCCCGGCCTTTCCGGTTTCCCCCGCCTCCTCTGAACTCCCCTGGCCTCCCCAGCCTCTTCCCCGGCCTTCCCGGCCTCCCATGCAGGCCTTCCCGGTCTCCCCCGCCTCCCCGGCCTCCCCGGCCTCCCCCGGCCTCTCCCCGGCATCCCCTGACCTCTCCCCTGCCTCTTCTGACCTCCCCGGCATCCCGCGGCCTCCCCGGCCTCACCTGACCTTTCCTCAGTCTCCTTTGATCTCCCCGACCTTCCCTGGCCTCCCCGGCTTTCCCGGTCTCCCCGGCCTTCCCGGCCTCCCCGCTTCCCCGGCCTCTTCTGACTTCGGCCCAGCCTCTTCCCTGGCCCCCCCTGACTTCCCCTGGCCTCCCGGCCTCCCCGGCTTCCCTTGACCTCCCCTGGCCTCCCCGGCCTTCCCGGCCTCCCGCGCCTCCCCGGCCTCCCCGGCTTTCCCGGCTTCGCCAGCTTCCCGGCTTCCCCTGACCTCTCCTTTCCTCTGACTTCCCCGGTCTCCCTGGCCTCCCCGGCCTCCTCGGCCTCCCCTGACCTCCCTTGGCCTCCCCGAACTTTCCCGGCCTCCCTCGCCTTCCCGGCCTCCCCGGCTTCCCCGGCTTCCTTGGCTTCACTGACCTCCCCAAGCTGACAAACCGAAATCATATTGATCGCCTATGGGTTTCCTGTTGGGTCTCCCGAGAAAGCCAGCAGAGCGAGGGTCCCCGGCTTCCCCGGCTTCCTCGGCTTCCCCGGCTTCCCATGATCTGTGCCCCGGCCTCCCCGACTTCCCCGGCCTCCCCGGTCGCCCCGGCCTCCCCGGCCTCCCCGGCTTCGAACCCGAGCCTCTCCCCGGCTTCCCCTGACTTCTTCCCTTGACCTCCCCGGTCTTCCCGGCCCCCCCTGGCCTCCACGGCGTCCCCGACTTCCCCGGCCTCCCCTGATCTCCCGGGGCTCCCCTGACCTCCCCAGCCTGCCAGAGCCTCCCGGAGCCTCCCGGAACTTCCCGCAGCTTCCCCGAGCGTCCCGCAGCTTCCCGGAGCTTCCCGCAGCTTCCCACGGAGCCCCTCGCAGCTTCCCGGAGCTTCCCGGAACCTCCCGCAGCTTCCCGCAGCCTCCCGGAGCTTCCCAGAGCTTCCCGCAGCCACCCAGCCGCCCGGGACCAACGCAGGATGCCAGCGGCGGGCGCGGATTACAGCCGCTGCTCGCGACACCCCTACCCGATCAGCCCGGGCGGTCAAATGCGAGAGGGCGCGTGGCGGAAGCTGCTCCCCACCCAGCCGTCCGGGACAGGATGCCAGCGGCGGGCAGAGATTGCAGCCGCTGCTCGCGACACCCTACCCGATCAGCCCGGGCGGTCAAATTAAGAGAGGGCGCGTGGCGGAAGCTGCTCCCCACCCAGCTGCCCGGGACAGGATGCCAGCGGCGGGCGCGGATTACAGCCGGGTTGTCTCCCGGTTGTTTCCCAGCTGTCTCCCGGCAGTCTCCCGGCCGTCTCCCGGCTGTTTCCCGGCTGTCTCCCGGCTGTCTCCCGGCTATCTCCTGGCTGTCTCCGGGCTGTCTCCCGGCCGTCTCCCGGCTGTCTCCCGCCTGTTTCCCGGCCGCCTCCCGGCTGCTTCCCGGCTGTCTCCCGGCTGCTTCCCAGCTGTCTCCCGGTTGTCTCCCGGTTGTCTCCCGGCTGTCTCCCGGCTGTCTCCCGGCTGTCTTCCGGTTGTCTCCCGGCTGTCTCCCGGCTGTCTCTCGGCTGTTTCCCGGATGTCTCCCGACTGTTTCCCGGCTGTTTCCGGGCTGTCTCCCGACTGCCTCCTTGGCTTCCCCTGGCCTCCCTGGCCTCCCGGGATTCGGTGGCTTCCCTGACGTCCCTGACCTCCCCACCCTCCCTGACCTCCCCGGTTTCCCTGGCCTCCCTTGCCTTCCCGCCTGACCTGTCCTGACTTTGGCAAGTTGACAGACCGAAATCACATTGTCCGCCTATGGGTTTCTTGTTGGTTCTTTTGAGAAGGCCAGCAGGGTGAGGGTGGCTGGGCTGCCCCCCGGCTTCCCCGATTTCCTTCAGGCGTCCCCAGTCCCCCTGGTCCCCTTGATTTCCTTGCTGCACTCTGTCTCTGTACGTTGGCCATGGCCAGCTCGGCTTGGCGTGCATGGATTGGATGGTTTGGCTGGCCGTACATAGACAGGCCCGGCTGGCCCTACATAGACAGGCTGGCCCGGCTGGCAATGCATAGACAGGCTGGCCCGGCTGAGCCTACATAGACAGGCTGGCCCGGCTGGCCGTGCATGAGCGGGGTCGGTTTGGTCCCAGGCGGGGCCAGTTTGGTCCCAAGCTCGCCCGGCTTGGCCTCACGTGCAGCTATCTTGGCTCCAAGCGGGGCAAGTTTGGTCCCAAGTGGGGCAAGTTTGGTGCCAAGCGGGGCCAGTTTGGCCCCAAGCGGGGCCAGTTTGGTCCCAAGCGGGGCCAATTTGGCCCTAAGCTCGAGCGGTTTGGTTCCAAGCGGGGCCAGTGTGGTCCCAAGCGGGACCAGTTTGGTCCCAAGCTCGACCGGTTTGGCCACAAGCCAGGCCAGTTTGGCCCCAAGCCGGCACAGTTTGGCCCCATGTGGAGTTATCTTAACCCCATGTGCAGCTATCTTGGCTCCCAAGTGGGGTCGGTTTTGTCGCAGGCGGGGCCAGTGTGGTCCCAAGCTCGACCGGTTTGGCCCCAAGCCGGGCCAGGTTGGTGCCAAGCGGGGCCAGTTTGCCCCTAAGTCGCGCCTGTTTCGCCCCATGTGTAGTTATCTTAATCCCATGTGCAGCCACCTTAGCCCCCAAGCGGGATCGGTTTGGTCCCAGGCGGGTCCAGTTTGTTCCCAAGCTCGAGCAGCTTGGGTTCCCGCGCAGCTATCTTGGCCCCAAGCGTGGCCAGTTTGGTCCCAAGCTCGAGCGCTTTGGTCCCAAGTGGGGCCAGTTTGGCCCCAAGCTCGACCGGTTTGGCCCCAAGCCGGGCCAGTTTGGCTTCAAGCCGGCCCAGTTTGCCCCTAAGTCGAGCTTGTTTGGCCCCATGACATTGTGTAGTTATCGTAGCCCCATGTGCAGCTATCTTGGCCCCCAAGCGGGGCCGGTTTGTTCCCAGGCGGGGTCAGTTTGGTCCCAAGCTCGACCTTGATTTCCTTGCTGCACGCTGTCTCTGTACATTGGCCGTGGCCAGCTCGGCTTGGCGTGCGTGGACTGGATGGCCTGGCTGGGCGTGCATGGACAGGCTGCCGCGGCTGGCTGTACGTAGGCTGTGGCTAATCTGGCTGGCTGTATTGTGGCTGGCCCGGCTGGCTGTGCACAGGCTGTGACTTCAATGCCCGGCTGGGTTTACATTGGCTGTGGCTGGCCAGACTCGCTGTGCACATAGGCTGAAGCTGGTCCAGGTGCCTGCACATAGGCTGTGGCTGACCCGGTTGGATCTACATAACGCTCCCCTCCGGTCTCCACGGCCTCTGGTCTCCCTGGCCTTCCCGGTCTCGCTCGGCTTCCTTGACCTCCCCCGACCTCCTTGATCTCCCCGGCCTCCCCTGACCTCCCTGATCCCCCCGGTCATTGGAAGCTTCCATACAACCAACAGCTCCCGGTTGCCGGCTGTGTCCCGGTTGTTTCCCGGCTGTCTCCCGGCCGTCTCCCGGCCGTCTCCCCGTCTCCCGGCTGTCTCCCGGTTGTCTCCCGGCTGTTTCCCAGCTGTTTCCCAGCTGTCTCCCGGTTGTCTCCCGGCTGTTTCCCGAGTGTTTCCGGCTGTTTCCCGGCTGTCTCCCGGCCGTCTGCCGGCTGTCTCCGGTTGTGTCCCGGCTGTCTCCTGGCTGTCTCCCAGCTGTTGCCCGGATGTCTCCCGACTGTCTCCCGGCTGTGTCCCGGTTGTCTCCCGGTTGTCCCCCGGCTGTCTCCCAGCTGTTTCCCAGCTGTCTCCCGGCTGTCTCCCGGGTGTTTCCCGGCTGTTTCCCGGCTGTCTCCCGGCTGTCTCCCGGCTGTCTCCCAGCTGTCTCCCAGCTGTCTCCCGGCTGTCTCCCGGCTGTGATCCGGCCTCCGGGCTGCGTCCCGGCTGTTTCCCGGCTGTTTTTCAGTTGTTTCCCGCGTGTCTCCCGGCTGTTTCCCAAGTGTTTTCCGGCTGTCTCCTGGCTGTCTCCCGGTTGTCTCCCGGCTGTCTCCCGGATGTTTCCCGGCCGTCTCCCCGCTGTTTCCCCGGCTGTCTCCCGGCTGCCGCCGTGCTGCGTCCGGGCTGCGTCCCGGATGTTTCCCGGCTCTCTCCCGCCCGTCTGCCGGCTGTCTCCCGGTTGTCTCCTGGTCGTCTCCCAGATGTCTCCCGGTTGTCTCCCGGTTGTTTCCCGGCTGTCTCCCGGCTGTTTCCCGGCTGTCTCCCGGCTGTCTCCCGGCTGTCTCCCGACTGTCTCCCAGCTGTCTTCCGGCTGTCTCCGGCTGTTTCCGGGCTGTCTCCCGGCTGTCTCCCCAGTTGTGTCCCGGCTGCTTCCGGGCTGTCTCCCGATTGCATCCCGGTTCTCTCCCCGGTTGTCTCCCGGCTGCCTCCGGCTGCTTCCGGGCTGCGTCTCTTTCCCGGCTGTCTCCCAGCTGTCTCCCGGTTGTCTTCCGGCCGTCTCCCGGCTGTCTCCCGGTTGTCTCCAGGCTGTCTCCCGGCTGTCTCCCGGTTGTCTCCCGCCTGTTTCCCGGCTGTCTCCCGGCTGTCTCCCGGCTGTCTCCCGGCTGTCTCCCGGCTGTCTCCCAGCTGTCTTCCGGCTTTTTCCCGGCTGTTTCCGGGCTGTCTCCCCGCTGTCTCCCGACTGCCTCCCCGCTGACTCCCTGGTTGTCTCCTGGCTGCCGATTGCTTCCCGGTTGTCTACCCGGTTGTCTCCCGGCTGCCTCCGGGCTGCCTCCGGGCTGCGTCCCGGCTGTTTCCCGGCTGTCTCCCGGCTGTCTTCCGGCTCTCTCCCGGCTGTCTCCCGGCTGTTTCCCGGCTGTCTCCCGGCTGTTTCCCGGCTGTCTCCCAGCTGTTTCCCGGCTGTTCCCCGGCTGTGTCCCAACTGTTTCCCGGCTGTTTCCCGGCTGTTTCCGGGCTGTGTCCCCGCTGTCTCCCGATTGCCTCCCGGCTGTCTCCGCGGTTGTCTCCCGATTGTCTCCCGGCTGTCTCCCGAATGTCTCCCGGCTGTCTCCCGTCTGTCTCCCGGCTGTTTCCCGGTTTTTTCCCGGCTGTTTCCCGGCTGTTTCCCGGCTGTTTCCCAGCTGCTTCCCGGATGGATCCCCTTAGCCTCCTTGACCTCCCAAGGTTCCAAAGGAGAGTGTGGGTGGCGGAGCAGCCCCAGGGCCTGGCACAGCCTCCTGGCTAATTCCCGGCCGTGTCCCAGAAGCACGCCAGGACACCCACAGCTTACGTTCCGGCCAAATCCTACGTTCTGGTTCAATCCTATGTTCCGGTCACCTTACCACTTCCACGATCCGCCAGCTGGATCCAGGCAGTGTGCGCAGAGCTGCCACAAACACCCGCAAACACCCGCAAACGCCTACAAACACCCGCAAACACCCACAAACACCCGCAAACATCCACAAACACCCACAAACATCCACAAACGCCACAAACACCAAATTGACAGACCGAAATCATGAACAACAAATGCCCTGTCCACCTGAGAGCGGGGCGGCTGGGCTAACATCCATGGCGTCCCCTCTAGCGGAAAAGGGAGAGTACCTCCCCAACTCCCTGGCCTCCTTGACTTCCCCGGCCACCCTGACCTCCCCGGCCTCCTTGGCCCTGACCTCCCTGGCTTCCCTGACTTCCCCGGCCTCCCTTATCTCCCCGGCCTCCCCGGCCTCGCTGACTTCCCCGGCTTCCCCGGCTTACCTGACCTCCCCGGCCTCCCTGACCTCCCCGGCCTCCCTGACCTCCCCGACCTACCCGGCCTCCCGGCCTTCCGGCGTTCCGGTCTCCCGGTTTCCCCGGGCTCCCGGCTTCCCGGCCTCCTTGCTTCCTGGCCGCCCTGGACCTACGCAGGGTGCTAGCGGGAAGGGGGGGGGGGTGCTGAGGATGGGGGTAGGGATTCCCCGGAGAATTACAGCCGCTTGTTGGTGACACCCCTACTTCAAGGAAGCTTCCATACAACCAAAAGGATGGCGGTAGGGATTCCCCGACTGCCGGCTGTCTCCCGGCTGTTTCCCGGCTGTTTCCCGTCTGTCTCCCGGCTGTCTCCCAGCTGTCTCCCGGCTGTCTCCTGGCTGTCTCCCGGCTGTTTCCCGGCTGTCTCCCTTTGGTAACGTTTGTTAGACCGAAATCACATCCATAGGCGGTTGCATGTCTGAGCAGAATGATCTTGATGGGATCGAGCTGCAAGCATCCCATGGGTGAGACTCGGCACAGCGTGCGCCACGATTTTCCGCAGCCAAAATCTGGCTTGTTGACCGCTGGCGGGCTCTGGCGCGCTATCTGGCTCGTTGGCGGCATTGAATGTCTCCCAGCTGTCCCCCGGCTGTCTCCCGGCTATCTCCCGGCTGTCTCCCGGCTGTCTCCCGACTGCTTCCCGGCTGCCTCCCGGGTGGCTCCCCTTCCTCTTTGAATTCTCCTGGCTCCAAAGGGGAGCGGAAGGTGGGTGGCGGAGCAGCCCCAGAGCTTGCCACAGCCTAACTGGCCCTTTCCCGGCCGTGTCCCGGAAGCATGCCAGACCACCCACAGCTTACGGCCGGAACGTAGAATCCTACGTTCCGGTTAAATCCTATGTTCCGGTTAAATCCTATGTTCCGGCCACCCTACCACCCCCACGATCCGCCAGCTGGATCCAGGCAATGTGCGCAGAGCTGCCACAAACACCCGCAAACGCCCGCAAACGCCTACAAACACCCGCAAACATCCACAAACACCCGCAAACACTCACAAACACCCGCAAACACCAAATTGACAGACCGAAATCATGACCAACAAATGCCCTGTCCACCTGAGAGCGGGCCGGCTGGGCTAACATCCATGGCGTCCCCTCTGGCAGAAAAGGGAAAGTACCTCCCCGGCCTCCCTGACCTCCCCGGCCTCCCTGATCTCCCCGGCTTCCCTGACCTCCCCGGCCTCCCTTATTTCCCCGGCCTCCCCGGTTTACCTGATCTCCCCGGCCTCCCTGACCTCCCCGGCTTCCCTGGTCTCCCTGGCTTCCCTGGCCTCCCTGGCTTCCCTCCCTGACTTCCCTGACCTCCCCTGACCTTCCCGCCGTTCCCGACCTCCCCTGACCTCCCCGCCCTCCCTGAGCTCACCAATTTCCCCGACGTCGGGGAAATTGGTGAGCTCAGGGAGGTCCTCCCCGGTCTCCCCGGCCTCCCTGACCTCCCCGGCCTCCCTGACCTCCCCGGCTTCCCTGACCTCTCCGGCTTCCCCGGGCTCCTTTACTTCCCCGGCCTCCCTGACCTCCCCCGCCCGGCTTCCTTGATCTCCCTGACCTCCCCGGCTTCCTTTACCTCCCCAGCCTCCCTGATCTCCCCGGCCTCCCTGACCTCCCCGGACTCCCTATAACCTCCCCGGCCTCCCTAGTTCCCCCGGCCTCCCCGGCTTCCCTGACCTCCCCCGGCTTCCCTGATCTCCCCGGCCTCCCTGACCTCCCTGACCTCCCCGGCCCCCCTGACCTCCCCGGCTTCGCCGGCCCGAGAATTACAGCCGCTCGTTGGTGACACCCCTACCTCAAGGAAGCTTCCATACAACCAAAAGAATGGGAGTAGGGATTCCCCCGAGAATTACAGCCGCTTGTTGGTGACACCCCTACCTCAAGGAAGCTTCCATACAACCAAAAAGATGGGGTTAGGGATCCCCCCGAGAATTACAGCCGCTTGTTGGTGACACCCCTACCTCAAGGAAGCTTCCATACAACCAAAAAGATGGGGTCAGGGATCCCCCCGAGAATTAGAGCCGCTTGTTGGTGACACCCCTACCTCAAGGAAGCTTCCATACAACCAAAAAGATGGGGTTAGGGATCCCCCCGAGAATTACAGCCACCCCTACCTCAAGGAAGCTCCCATACGACCAAAAAGATGGGGTTAGGGATCCCCCCTAGAATTACAGCCGCTTGTTGGTGACACCCCTCCCTCAAGGAAGCTTCCATACGATCAAAGAATGGGGTTGGGGACCCCCCCGAGAATTACAGCCGCTTGTTGGTGACACCCCTACCTCAAGGAAGCTTCCATACAACCAAAAAGATGGGGTTAGGTTAGGGATCCCCCCGAGAATTACAGCCGCTTGTTGGTGACACCCCTACCTCAAGGAAGCTTCCATACAACCAAAAGAATGGGAGTAGGGATTCCCCCGAGAATTACAGCCGCTTGTTGGTGACACCCCTACCTCAAGGAAGCTTCCATACAACCAAAAGAATGGGGGCCGCTCTTACTTGATTGGGCGTCTGCTCTCCAACAGCCGTTTCATTTCGGGTTCATCCCGGATGGTCGTCAGATTTGCATGTCCGCTCTAACCCGGATTGGGCGAAGGGGTCAAAATTTGTTAACGTTTGACGGACCGAAATCACGTTCATAGGCGGTCGCATGTCTGACCAGAGCGATCTTGATGGGATCGAGCTGCAAGCATCCCATGGGACTCGGCACAGCGTGCGCCACGATTTTCCGCAGCCAAAATCTTGTTTGCTGGCCGCTGGCGGGCTCTGGCGCGCTATCTGGCTCGCTGGCGGCATTGGCTGGACCCCGAAAGAAAAATCATGGGCTGGCTGGCTGACTGTGGCGGCCTGGCTGGCTGGCCCGGCTGGTTGCGCATAGGGGCTGTATGGCCCGGCTCTGATTGCACAGAGGCCATGAAGCCCAGGCTTGCTGTGCATGTATTGTGCTGGCCCGGGCTGGCTGTGCATGGGTTGTGGGTGGCCCGAGTTGGCTCGGCTGGCTACACATAGTTTCTGCCGGGGCAACTCGGTCCAACTCGGTGCGGTTCAATTCGATTCGGTTCAACTCGGTTCAGTTCAATGCGGTTCAACTCAGTTCAACTCGGTTCAACTCGGTTCCATTTGGTTCAACTCGCATAGGCGGCCGCATGTTTCATCCGCTGTGCACGTAGACGTGCTGCGGCCTGCGAATAATCAGCCCACGCTTCCTGGCGTCTCACGGTATTTCCCCGCTGTCCCCTGGCTGTCTCCCGGCGTCTCCCAGCGTCCCCGATGTCTCCCGGCTGTCTCCCCGCCTCCCGGATGTCTCCCGGCTGTCTCCCGAATGTCTCCCGGCCTCCCAGATGTCTCCCGGCGTGTCTCGGTTCCTCCTGCTCTTACTTGATTGGGCGTCTGCTCTCCAACAACCGTTTCGTTTCCGGTTCAACCCGGATGGTCGTCACATTTGCATGTCTGCTCTAACCCGGATTGGGCGAAGGGGTCAACATTAGGTATCATTTGTTAGACCGAAATCACATCTATAGGCGGTCGCATGTCAGACCAGAGCGATCTTGATGGGATCGAGCTGCAAGCATCCCATGGGACTCGGCACAGCGCGCGCCACGATTTTCCGCAGCCGAAATCTGGCTTGCTGGCCGCTGGCGGGCTCTGGCGCGCTATCTGGCTCGCTGGTGGCATTGGCTGGCTAGTGGCTAGTGATTGGACTCTCTGGCTTGTGGCGTCTCACGGTGTTTCCCGGCTGTCTCCCGACTGTAACCCGGCTGTCTCCCGACTGCTTCCCGGCGCCTCTTTAAACTCATCGGGCTGCCTGTTTAACCTCATCGGGCTGCCGCCTTAACCGCATCGGGCCGCCTCTTTAACCTCATTTGGCTGCCTGTGCAACCTCATCGGGCTGCCGCCTTAACCTCATCGGGCTGCCTCTTTTACCTCATCGGGCTGCCTGTTTAACCTCATCGGGCTGCCTGTTTTACCTCACCGGGCTGCCTCTTTAACCTCATCGGGCTGCCTGTTTTACCTCATCGGGCTGCCTGTTTAACTTCATCGGGCTGCCTGTTGAACCTCATGGGGCTGCTGCTCCAACCTCATTGGGCTGCCTGTTTAACCTCATCGGGCTGCCTGTTTAACTTCATCGGGCTGCCTGTTTAACCTCATTGGGCTGCCTGTTTAACCTCACCGGGCTGCCGCCTTAACCTCATCGGGCTGCCTGTTTCACCTCATCGGGCTGTCAGCCCGGACGAATGATCAATTCTGTTTCCATTTATGTATCAGTCGGTGCACAATCTGGCCCCAAATCGGTGCCTCTTTTGACCTTTGCGAGCACCCCCGGAGACGCGTCGTGCTGCCTCCGAGTGAGTGGCCCACACATTGTTCTGGGAGTCTAGCCATGAGAGAGATGAGCAGTTCCCGCGTCAAAAGAAAAGCAAGCGCTTGTCTGCTCATCACCACCTGACACCATGCGTGCATCTGCATCTTGTGTGCGCCGCTCTGTAGCTGCACGCATGACTTGGCTTGTGTATACATGCCCTCCCCACTTGCTCCACTCGCACACTCTCGCCACGCAGCCTTTGCTCAGTGACGTTCTTTTGTGCAGTTTGGCTCCGAGCTGTTGTTGCATTTGCACCGTCAGCTTATTTGTAGTGGCCATAATCCCAAGCGGGTGCCGATAAGCACAGGAAGAACTTGACAGAGAAGGCGCAGCGCCCACGACTCAATTAGGAGATGGATGAGATGATACAGCGAAGGTTCACGCTTCTTGTCAAACCGCCTGGTCAAGGCAGAGGCTTCGCAGGCAAGGGCGCGACAGTGATCGAAGTACAGACCTCAAGGGAACGAGCCCGACCGCGGGTTCTTCCTCAAAAAGGAGCACGTGACCTCGGCTCGCATCCTCGCGGAGAGGTCCTCGCAAATCGTGAAAGACTTTGTTGTGAAATGCGGCGCGCTCAACAGGGAATCCCTGGAGTACACTATGACTTATGATGATCGTCCGGGAGATAGGCAAGCCAGGCGAAACAGAAAGAAGGACAAAGCTCGGAAGGCGCCATTGGAGGAAACGAAAGCGAAGGAGTTGGCCCGATTCGAGTTTGAGGGAGCGACTGTGGAGACACGGGCGAGCAAGAGGAGGAAAATGTCCACAGCCGCCAAGACCAGTGGCAGTGTTGGGTTGCCTGTGCCCACGCCAGTGCAACTGCTTGGCAAGCCTGTGAAGAACCGCCGCGAGATCTGGGATTGCCTCGAGAAGTTGAGTTGGGTGCGAGGGAACGTCAAGACCACGACATTTGGTTCAGGAAGCATTGCGCTGGGCGTCACACGCGGTGCCCCAGGCGCCGATGGCTTCAACAAGGAAGGCTACAATGACCAAGTTGTGCCTGGATGCTTGTCACAAGGCGATCAAGAGCAGTGTGCCAAACTGTGGGAATTGCTTCAGGACGAAGGTCGGGCGCTCGGCTTCGAATTCAGCAGCGCGCAACTCAACAATAATTTTCAGCCGATGCACCCCCGCCACCACCGCCGCACGGACAAGGACCACCAATGGTGTCTGTCCCTGGGCGAATTCACAGCAGGCGAGTTCTGCTGGCAGGAGAGGCACCAATGCTTCAGCGTGTCCACGAAAGATCAATGGCAGAAAGTTGTCTTCTACCATTCTGATGCTGTGGCGCCCGAGCCTCCCCGGCGTCCTCTCCGCGTGGGACATGATTGCGCAGGCACGAATGCGCCTTGCCAAGCGTTGCGGAACTTGCGCGTGGACTTCACAGAGGCCTTCGCGAGCGACCTTGACGAGTTCGCCTGCCAGACCATCGAAGCCAATTCCCGCCCTGTCAAATTCTACAGGGGCGAAGTTGATGGGGACATCACCAAGCGCGACCACTCGCAGGCGCCCGGCTGCGACCTGTACATGGCAGGATTTCCCTGCCAGCCGCGCAGCTCAGAAGGCAACAAGAGAGGCTTCGATGACCCACGTGGCCAGGTGTTCTATAGTGTCGTGGATTACATGAGAACCCACAAGCCTCGTGTCGCAGTCCTGGAGAACGTGCGAAGTCTGCTTCACAATCGCGACGGCGAAGACATTTGCGAGGTTCTACACGAGCTGCTGCGATTGGATTGCTATAACATCCAGTGGAGGGCCTGAATACCGCCGATCACGGCGTGCCGCAAAGCCGAAATAGGCTCCACATTGTCTGCGTCCGCAAGGACTTTTATATCGAGGGTAGGTTCCAGTGGCCGGAGCCCATTGCCTGCCCGTCGGTGGAGCGCTTCTTGGATCCATGTGAGGCGAAGCCGACCCTGCTGAACGTGCAGCCGCCTCCTCAGACCTTCGCTTCCGAGATATGGGCTGCGACGATGGCGAAGCCTTTGCGCCACAAGCATGAACCCTTGCAGCAAGCATGGCTCTTCCCAGTCACTACCAGCGAGGGGCGTTGCTTTGTGAAGATGGACATGTGCTCCTGTTTGCTCACCGGCAGCAAGATCTGGATCTCCAACAGAGGTCGGCTCCTCAATGCACGCGAGCGCTGTCGATTGCAAGGCATGAGCCCAGACGACTTCAAGCAGGTGGTGTCGGATGCCCAATGGCGTAAGCAACTCGGCAACGCTATGAGTGTCAACGTGCTGGAGCGCTTGCTCGCGCGCCTCTTGCCTGCGGTGGGGCTGACGGGTGCGCTTCCGGACCGTTGGGCCAGCGGCACCGCGGCGGCGGAGCTCGAAGCCACCAGAACCAGCGTGTAGCCGCCGTACGTTAGTGAGCCATTGGCAGCCTAGTGTAGTGACAGAGCGTCCTGACAGACCTCGTGTGCGAAGGCATGTGTGGAAAAAGAAGTGCACGTAGCGCAGTTCAACGCTCGCCGAGATATGGGAATTGCCGAGCATCCCCTGAGGGGGTCCAGATGTCATAGGGGCGTAGGCGGATGAGGGAATGGCCATCATTGACACGCCACGGCCACCCATTACTGGCATCCAGGCCACACCCACGGACGGAAACCACCCCGCTATGCAGAGACGAGCCGGCCAATTTGATAGACCGAAATCACGCACAGGCGGAAGTGTTATCCCACGTAGATCCCCGGCGGCATGACTGCCCAGGGGCATGGCTGGGTGCAATGCAGCCGGGCGCTTGTTGCCCCCCCCGCTCCTTTGCTTCAGCCATATCGCTTGCATGCCATTTTAGAGCCTCGTTTAGAACTATGGAGCTACTGTGTGGTGCTGATGTCATATGCAGTTTCCGCGTCAGGCGTTGCGCGCGCCCCCGCGTAGGTGCTGAAGGGGTATTGCACACCGCGCCGCACAGGAGACCAGCCGTGCACGGGGGTGGGAGGTCGGAGCGACCTAATGCGTGCAAGCCAAGCGCGCGAACGGTGAGGAGAACACACTTGCGCGCACATTGATTGGTCTAGAGTCGTGCTGGCGCATCGGAGGCTCGTTCGTTCGGAGAAAAGGTGCGTGTTCCCAACCTACAGCCCAACGGTAACTGCTCATAAGCATGGTCAGTAACAGGAGCTATCGTGTGCTTCAAGCAGTGCTCCGCACGCCTAAAGCCCAAGAGCACTGATGGCCCTGTGCGCGGTTAGCGAACTGGAGCAGTATCGCGTCTTGCCCGGCCTTGACATCTGGGTCGTCCCCAACTTCGCGCAGCATGTCTTGGGATGTGACGCAGCCCTGCTACAGACAGAGCTAGAGCGGGCCTATGGGATCGTCGGTAAGGGCGACGCGATCACACCTGCTGCAGCGCAGTGGGTCGACGGGGCCCACAAGGCGCTGAACTACCGCGGCAACGAACTCAAGCGGTCGAAAATGTGGTTCCAAAAGGGTGATCCACGCGAGCGTGGATACGTGAAGTATTATTACACTGGCTGGACTTGCGGCATTGTGTCGGCCACCTCCGATGTGGCTGCCTGCCCACTGCTCGCCCCGGTAGCCGCCCGCTACGATGCATGGGCGCACGGCCTTGGATACCCTGCCGCGAATCATTACATCATGACGCACTACGATAAGCCAAAGTCCATCGCCCCAGGCTCGTTCATTACTGTGGTGAAAACTGGTGCACACGGCCGTCCATTCCAGCTACGACACCGCCTCAAGCTGGAACGACTTGCCGACGAGGACGCCAAGGCATTCAAGAAGCGGATGGATGCCGCACAGGCCCGCGAGCAACCATTCTTCGACCAGGTGGTCGCACCAGGATCAGCAATCATCATGACATTGGAAGCCAACCTTCTGACACAACACGGAGTGCCAGCTGTCCCTGAAGCTGCGCCTACTGGGTCGCTTGTCTTCCGGACCATCACGGAGCGCGTTTTCGGCGTGGCAGGGGCAGCCCCGAAGCGGCGACGCGTGAAATGAGTGCGAGGAGCCTGGGGGATCTAGGCGTGAATAAGTTTGTCGCGCGTGTATGTGCAAAGCGTGGGCTGCCGTAGTCTGCTGCATATGTGCTAAGCAAGATAATCGCAATTGTTCGTACTGGGATGCAAAATGATTAATGGCTCGTGGCTCTTGGGGTCAATATGATGCAGAAAAAACAATGTGCTAAACAGGGCTGCGAAAGGTAGCTGTAGCAAAGCGAAGTGTAGTAGAGGTAGTATTGGCCCAGCGAGAGGTAGTATTGGCCCCGCGAGAGGTAGTAATGGCCCCGCGAGAGGTAGTAATGGCCCCGCGAGACGTAGTAATAGCCCAGCGAGAGGTAGTAATGGACAAGCGAGAGGTAGTAATAGGCGCCGCTGCAGCGATGCGTATGATGTACAATCTGCAGCTGTTTTAGACTCCAGAGCAGCGTTGCTGACGAATCTCTTCTATCCGCCATGCCAGCCGCCTTAACCGTTCCGAAGATCCTGGCCAGGCTCAGCTGGGGGCTTGACGACCAACCCATCGAGTCTACAACACAGCACGAGGAGGCGGCGCGACAGCTCGACTACCTCAAGGGCTCAACAAGTCACTGTAGCCAGACAGATGCCCGCTTCACGCAGCAGGTCGACGGCGTCACAGTGGTGCAGGCGCGCGACCGCATCCGCGCCAAGATGCGGGAAGCGGTCGCGCAGGGGAAAGCCAGCCGCCGAAGCAAGCAAATCCAATACGCTTCGACGAGGGGTGGGCTGCGTCGCCAGTTCGCCAGTGTTCATTGCCGAATTGCCGAGGGTGGGGCTGAAGCGACCGAGTTACGCCAGAGCGTCCAGGAGTTGGGCCAGCAGCTCACGCGCAAGAGGGCTCGGCTATCCGTAATCGAGGCGCAAGTAACGAAGGATAGGGAGGAGGCAGCGGCCATCCTGGCGCGTCTGACTAAAGTCCGCAGTGCAGGTCACCTTGAGGCCAGGTGCGAGCGTCAACGAGGTGGGCACACTTATGCACATAAGTACAGTATCAACAAGATCCTGTCTCTCGGCCTGGTTGACGCAGCACGGCGGTACGCGCCTGGCATGTCTATACATGATTGTGCCGCCTTTGTGCTGGACGGCCCCGACTGCCGATCAACGCAGGCCCTGAATGACATCGGAGTCTTGCACATCCACATCATCAACGACAACCGCCAGGGAGTATTGTGTTGCAGTGCCTCCCGCAGGGAGTATTGCTTTGTCCCCCGCAGGGAGTATTGTATTGCAGTGCCTCCCGCAGGGAGTGTTGTCTCCCGCAGGGAGTATTGCCTCCCGCAGGGCGTATTGCCCCACGCTGGCGCTGCTCCTGCTGCGGTGGAGGCTGCGCGCCAGGCGGCGCCTGCGAGTCGAGCACGCTCAGGGACTGGCTCGACGACGCCTTGGCAGGGATCCCAGGGAGTGGCGACTACCCCGCGATCCATGCTCTCATGGCGGCGGGCGAAATTCAAGCTGAAGTCTTCAAGACAGACGTTGCGGGTTTCCTCGCCAGCTCGCGCAACATGTTCTACAACTTTGTGTTCTATGATTCGCATGGCTTCACTGGTGGGCTCGAGGAGTTCGACGCCCTGCTCAACCATCTCGCCCGCCCATTTTTTATTTTGCTGCGTCTTTTCAGACCAGTGGCGCAGGAGTGTGTGGCGAGAATGGCCCTGTCAGACGTATGTGTTTCCAAGAAGGTGGCGACGAGCACGTAGCAGATGTGGTGGAACACACCGAGTTGCAGGACTTCCAGGCAGCCATGGAGAGGAGGACACATGAGATGAGTATCATCATCCGCAAGACAGAGGATATGGCAGTACCTGGCCGCGGCAGCGCAACGCGTTTTCAAGTCCGGGTATGGCATCTCGACACCAGTGGCTCACCCGCGAGCCACAGAGTGATTCCTCCATAGGCGCACACACCAACTGCTTGCAGACCTCCCCAAGTCATTTAGCAGTTAGGGTGCTGAGTACAAGCTGCGCACTTCGCGGATGGTGTTAGGTGAGCCAACTGTCAGCCGTAGTGTAACGCAGCTATAGCAGACGGAAATATAGCGCAGGCTGTCACTCGCAGGCGTAGATTCATTTGGCCCACCCGCGGGTCATAAGGCCATAAGACACTTGTCCTAAGTCGCGGGTCGCCCAGGTCAGGCCACAGCAAGGGTCATTTGGCCTACCCACGGGTCATAAGGTCATAGGTCAGGCCACAGCAAGGGTCATTTGGCCACAACAAGGGTCATTTGGCCAAGCACTCGCCCCACAGCGATAAAAGTGACGTCTCCCAAAAGTCATGGTGTCACAGGGGTCATAAGGCCATAAGGCCAGGTCGGGGTACAGCCAGGGTCATAAGACCAAGTGTAGCTAGTCCCAATGGTTACCAGGCTCAGGGCCACGAGGCCAAGAGGCTTTAGTCCAATTGTCACAAGGCCGAGTTTCACATGGCCAAAGGTCACAAGGCCAAAGGTCACAAAGGCAAATGGCCACTAGTCCAGGAGTCCGAGAGCCAAAGGTCACAAGACCAAGTGTAGCTAGTCCCAATGGTTACCAGGCTCAGGGTTCACAAGGCCAAGAGGCTTTAGTCCAAGGCCAAAGGTCACAAGGCCAAGGGTCACTAGTCCAGGAATCCAAGAACCAAAGGTCACAAGACCGAGTGTAGCTAGCCCCAATTTCTGCCAGGCTCAGGGTCACAAGGCCAAGAGGCTTTGGCCCAATGGTCACAAGGCGAAAGGTCAAAGGGAGTCCAAGAACCAAAGGTCACAAGACCAAGTGTAGCTAGCCCCAATGGTTACCAGGCTCAGGGTCACAAGGCCAAGAGGCTTTAGTCCAATGGTCACAAGGCCAAAGGTCACAAGGCCAAGGGTCACTAGCCCAGGAGTCCAAGAACCAAAGGTCACAAGACCGAGTGTAGCTAGCTCCAATGGTTACCAGGCTCAGGGTCACAAGGCCAAGAGGCTTTAGTCCAATGGTCACAAGGCCAAAGGTCACAAGGCCAAGGGTCACTAGCCCAGGAGTCCAAGAACCAAAGGTCACAAGACCGAGTGTAGCTAGCTCCAATGGTTACCAGGCTCAGGGTCACAAGGCCAAGAGGCTTTAGTCCAATGGTCACAAGGCCAAAGGTCACAAGGCCAAGGGTCACTAGCCCAGGAGTCCAAGAACCAAAGGTCACAAGACCGAGTGTAGCTAGCCCCAATGGTTGCCAGGCTCAGGGTCGCAAGGCCAAGAGGCTTTGGTCCAATGGTCACAAGGCCAAAGGTCACAAGGCCAAGGGTCACTAGTCCAGGAGTCCAAGAACCAAAAGGTCACAAGACCAAGTGTAGCTAGCCCAAATTGCCAGGCTCAGGGTCACAAGGCCAAGAGGCTTTAATCCAATGGTCACAAGGCCAAGTGC